TTAAGTTAAAATTGAAAGATTGACAGTTTGAATGAAGAAACAAAATGCTGTTCATAGGAATACCATTTAAAATATAATAATAGGAAAAGATTCAAAGTATGCAATCAAGAAATATGCATCTCAAGGTCAAATAAAAAACTGTATCTTCATGTTAATATCAATATAGACTTAATGGCAAAAGTATTTACTGAAAATAAAGAAGGCCATTTCATAATGACAGAAAGATACCTTTTTAACATATGTGTATGCCAATGAACATGGCCTGTAAACAGAAGTAAAAGGACAAATAAACTTAGACCTAGCCCAGTGGTAACTTGTTGCCTAACATACCTGAGGCCCTAGGTTCAGTCCCCAACACTGCAAAACACAGAGACAGGTATCTTATGCAAAGTAGACTTTGCATTCATTTTAGGCACTCATAAAATGTTTACAAACATTGATTATATCCTATTTAAAAAAGCAAATCTGAACAAATAAAAGGAATAATATTTTACATGGTATGGTATGTTTTCTGGTTACAGTGTAGGAAGCTAGAAATCAAAACCAAAGCTAATTATGAAATTCTTATAGGTTTGAAATGAGAAAAAAATACGTTTAAATATTTAATAGCTATCAAATTATTTTGACCTGAATGATATTGAAAATGCTGTCTGTCAAAACTTGTGGGACACTGCTAAAGCCAGCTTAGTTATGTGTAAATCTTTAAATACATGCATTAGGGGAAAAAATGCCAATAATAAAAAAAAGAATACAATAAGCATTCTTTTCAGAAATTTGGAAAAACAGTAACAGATTAAACCCAAAGGAAGCAGAAGGAAGAAAATAAAACTAAAGCAGAAATCAAGGAGGAGAAAAGTTCAAAATGAAGAGAATGAGTACATATTGTCTACCTATTGCTGCATTATAATTAAAACCACCCCCAAATTTAATTTAATACTTACATGAACAATTTCTTGTACTCCCACTTCTGTGACTGGATTCAGCAGAGCTGCTTGGGTCTGAATCTGCAGTCCACTGTAGGTTGGCAGGCAGTTCTGCTTTTGAGAGATTCCTAGCAGTAGGCATTGATGGTTACTGGGTCACATGTATTTCTTCCCACAATAACCTTAGTGCATATTTATCCTCATGGGAGCTGTAGGGTCTTAAGAACCACATATAAGGTTGACTTTTAACTGGCATATCCTTTGTATCAGCCAAAGCAAGCCACTGCTACCCTAGATTCAAGAGGTGGGAAGAGGTGCAAATTTACATCGCAGATGGTAGGAGTATGGTGAAGAGGAGGGAAGAATACTGACCCTGTTTTTTTAGGGGAGCAACTTGGGGGGACCAGGAATTGAACTTGGGTATTCAACAACTGAGCAGCCTCCCCAGATCTATTTTGTATTTTATTTAGAGAGAGGGTCTCACTGAGTTTGAACTCGCCATCCTCCTGCCTTAGCCTCCCGAGCTGCTGGGATTACAGGCTTGTGCCACTGTGTCCAGCTCTGAACCTGTTTAAAATCTTTCCATCCCAATCAACAAAAGCAAAGGAGAATTATTGGAGAATGAAAGAAAAAGGGAAATGTGCATAAATAGTAAAAAGTGAAAAATGCTGTCTGGAAAACTTGTGGGACACTGCTAAAGCCAGCTTAGTTATGTGTAAATCACTACAGATCTTATATATATTAAATAGAAAATTAGACAAACTTTAATCCAAGAAATTTGACAATTTAGACAATATGGATATGTTTCTAGATAAACAGTGTTTAAACAGTGTATCAATTGACAATACTAAGGAATACAAATCAAAGAAACTAAATCCATAATTTGAAACTTTCTACAGAGAAGACTGTGGTCCCAGGTGGTATCACCAATTAATTCTGTTCAGTATTTCATGAAGAAATAACACTAGGCTTACAGAAGCTTACCCAAAGAGGAGAAGAAGAAAGAATACTTTCCAATATGTTTTGAGGCCAATATGACCCTAATGCCAAAACCTGAGAAGCATATTGTGAGAAAGGAAAATTATAGGTCAGTTCTGTTCATGAATGTATTTTTTAAAAATCACCAGAATGCTGGGAAACTGAATCCACTAATTTATTAGAAGAATAATGAATTATGATCAAGTTGAGTTTCAGAATGGAAGGTTAGTTTAATATTTGCTTGTTGAAATTCATTATAATCTAAAAAAGTATATATGTAAAAATGTCTACACATTACTTCAAACTTTTAGGGGTGAACTTTTGAAATCTTTAATCTTGAATTTTGGTGTATTGACAGTGTTGTAAAGGATAGCAAGAAGAAATAAAAATATATAGTTGGAAGGAAAAAATATAACTTATTTGCAAGTGATGTGATCATTTACATAAATAATTCTAAAGAATATACAGGAAAAAATAAATAATTCTAAAGAATATACAGAAAAAACAAGAATCAATAATAATAAAACAAGATTGTTGCATACAAGTTTATAGGAAAACCAATTATATGTTTTTTTTTTTTTTTAGGGAAAAAAAATTTAAAAATATAATATACGACGACAGAAAAAAATCCTATGAATTTCTAGGAGTTAAGTTTTAAGTGAGAGTAAAGGCTTAATGAAAAATGCATTAAAAGTTTACGTTCTTAAGGGAAAAATAAAAGATGACCTAATCAAATGGAGAAGTTATATACCATGTTTATGGTTTTGAATATACACTATATTATAGTAGAATTCCAATGAAAATTCTTAAAAGTATTATTTTAGAAATTGAGCAACTCATTCTAAAATATGTGTGAAAATATGTGGCAGGCCACAAACAGCCAAGACACTCTTGAAGAGCAAGGTAGAAGAACTTGCTTTACTGCATACCAAGATGTCACTGTAGTTAATACAGCATGATATTAAAAGAAAGACTAAATAGATTAGTGAAATAGAATGGAGAGCCCAGAGACTGAGGTATAGTTATATAAGGTTGCTTATGAATGGTTTATCTTCTGAGAAATGTGTTGTCATGTAATTTTGTAGCTATGGGAACATCGGAGAGTATGCTTACACAAACCTGGACTGTATAAGTTAGTCTGTGCAGCCTCTTGATGCAGTCAAGAGACTGTGGTAAACATGAGATGTGTGAGGCAGCTGCCAGTGTAATATGCTGTGCTGTTTTATTACAAAATATAATTTGCCATTGATCATATCCTTTTCTGTGACATCCTAAGCTTGATTGTTAAGTGAGTCAAAGGGTTGAGGTTTCCTGAAGAGAATGTGCGGTGGGATTAGGAGACAATTAATTGCCTACTCTATGCCAAACTTACTATGTATGCTGTGTGCACAGCTGTCAGTATAGCTCTATCAGATAGTGTTACCACCTTCATTATGTAGTCAAGGTTTATTTGATGTGACTCTGAAATTCCTAATTAACTGTTTCATTGGAGCTTGGATATCAATTGAATGAATTTTTGTGTTTTCAGAGTTTAAGCACTTCACCTTAGTATACTATTAGTTTTTTCAGATTGGAGATGTGGGATGGTAAGGTTGACTGGGGATTCTAAAAAGAAAATTCCTTGTTAAAATAGATGACAGTTGTGTTTAGACTCCGTCAAAAGGTAGATGAAATATTATAGCTAAGAAACTGGTAAAGAATAACAGGGTTTATTTGAATGTAAATAGGTGGCTTGGGCAAATTTCAGAATCGGGGGTCTTATAGAGTTAGTCAAGTGCATATAGATCAAAGGATGAGAGTCTCAACTAGGGGCTGTATCAGAATCCCTAGGGGGAGGAGACTTTTTTCAGAGAATGCTCATGCATTAATTACCCCCCTTTCACATGAGAATCACTTTCTCAAAGGCAAGCCCCTTTGAGGCAGAGAGCGCCTTTGGAGTATAGAAGGGTGAAGGAAGTACCCAGCTTCTTGTGACCACCAGTAAATATTCTAGCTTGTTACTTTGATGTAGTGATACACTAACAGTAGGATAAATGCAAGAGGAAGGTGGGAAATTGTATGCATAAGAATCGGTATTTTTTTATTATTAAATAAATGAAAACCACTCATGAGTTTTTATGGACCTGGTGGAAGACACTCATTGTTTTTATGCAGATGATATGCAAATGAAGAAAATATACTTTCAATATGCACACACAGATATTTGGTTATTTACTAATTAAAATAGCTAAACAAGATAATGACAGAAGGAAAAAGCAGAAAACAGAAATAATACATTTTAAAGTAAAATGTCTAAAAACCATTTGCCTTAATATAAAGAAACTTTCACATGTGAGTCTAGAAGTTTCTGTTGGATGAAAATAAGTTTCATTTATACACTTGCTTATATGACTGACTTATTCATGGAAAGAAAGAGTTTAGGCTCCTTAGAAAAAATAGAAGTGTAAGTTAAAGATGGAAATGGAAAAAAATAAAGGAAAGTAAAGATGCAGACATGAAATTTTCCAAGAAATATGATGAAAAATATATATTCTCAAGACTTAGCATGTAGGGTAGAATACAGATTTGGCCCTCAATGTTGTAGCAGCCCACTCAGAATTGTAATGTATACGTTTCTATCTGGAGAAAGTATGACTTTTTTGGTTATGAAAAGTAGGACTTTTCCTCAGGCCCCCCCCCCCCCAATCATACAGGGTAATCACTACTAACAGAATGAGCAATTGATTCAGCACCCGACATCTGGAAGAGACAGAAATTTATAGAACAGGTTTATATTCTTAGGTGGCATCTAATCATTCGTCAGCTCTTTAATATACTCTGGCTTACATTATGTACTTGTGGACAATTCTGTATAGCTCCTGTGTGTAGCGGGTATTGTTTCTAATTCATAGTTTGTGTTAATTCGAATGATAATTTTATTTAAAACAATGAGAAAACAATAGTTTTATCCCAAACTTGTCATGAGATTCATGAGGGCTCTAAATTTTACTTCTTATTACACATAGGTACGTACGTACGTACATACATACATATATACTTTAAAATAACTTTAAGGACCATAATAGCAAATGAATAATTTGTGGTTCTTTGTTTTTCCAGTTTAATTTTGTTGGGAGAATCCTTGGACCCAGAGGACTTACCGCTAAACAGCTTGAAGCAGAAACTGGATGTAAAATAATGGTCCGAGGCAAAGGCTCAATGAGAGATAAAAAGAAGGTAAGTCCTTGAAAGACGGGCAAGTCTTTTTGTGAATAATTTACTTATATTTTTTCATGCTAATAGTAAAGTTTCATATCTTTTAGGTGTAAAACTTGATACTCCATGTTAGGAACTCTGAAACATTTTTTAAGGTGTTTCTCTGATTTTTCCCCCTTTGTTAATCACCATTTTACACTTAGGAATAAAGTATTATGTTACTCCATTGTGTTAATTTAACTTTAATATTTTATACTTGAGAAACCTCCATGTGGAAATTAGACTATCATGTTGTCTATGAAAATATGCAAGTAAAAGCTTGAAAAGCCTAAAAGTTTTCTTTTGATGAGCTGTAAACGGGATTGGTCTCATGAATTTTAACTGTAGTTGTATGTCAAATCACTGGGACAGTTAAAAGACATAGAAATCTGTTAAAACAAAGGCTTATTACTATCCATATGAGATTGGTTTCAGCAACATTGTATCTCAACTGTAAATTATTTTTAGGCATTGAAAATTTTTGTTGTTGTTGTTGTAGATGGACAAAATACCTTTGTTTTATTTATTTTTATGTGGTGCTGAGGATCAAACCCAGTGCCTCATGTGTTAGGCAAGTGCTCTACCACTGAACCCCAGCCCTTGTGTTTTAGTTAGGCATTTTACTTTAAAATGTATTATTCCTGTTCTTTCTCCTCCTACCTTCTTTTCCTTATTTTGCTAGTTTAATGTGAATATCAAACTCTTTTGTCTTGAATTTTATTAGGGAGATTTTATTTACCTAGTTTTCTTTTACAGTAATACTGTAAGGTAGAATGCTTTTTAAAAAAGAGAGAGAGAGACACTAATCTAAAGTACCTAGATTTTGATTGCTAAAGGTGAAAGTTATTATTAGGAAGGGTGATTTTTTTTCTTCTTCTTCTTCTTCTGATACATTGACTTGAAAGTGCCTTCGTGCCATCAAATGATAGAGCTGTGATCAGCTTGTGTTGGAACTTATGTGTTGAATTGTTCTATGGAGCTGATAGAATGAACAGCACCACCAACAAGATTGCTGGCTTCATTTTCTTCCTAATTTATACTCCAGCCCTCTTATAAGCTGTGTGGATTTAATTATCTCTACTACCCCTCACCCCACCTCTCCCCCCCCGCCCCCCGCCCCATAGACAGGACCGTGTAGCTAAGACGTCTGAGGAAAAAAAGATATCATTATTTTTAAATTTTGTAGCTCTTTATTTTTCTGTTGAGTTTGAGGCATTTTCATGAGATTATAAAGTTCTTGAGTGTTTTAGATGTTGTATTTAAAAAAAATTCATTAGGATCTTAAACATTTTAGCATCAACAGTGTGTCTTTTCAAGTGAGTGTTGCCATAAATCTTTGGTTTCCATGTTTGAACTTGGGATGACATTGGCATTAGCAGGAACTCCACAATTGCAAACAGCAGTCTTCACCCCACAATTTTTATATCAGAGGAAAGTCAGTGAAGAAAATATTTCCCTCTCCTGAGCTTCTGCTACTTCTGTAATAATGGCCTGCTCACTTCACTCACATGGTACTCACAGACAAGGATTAGAACTTAGAACTGTGTAGTTCAGCATCATGAATAAATAACATTATCAGCTGTCTTTCGCAGAAGAATTAAAATGATTAAAAGTGAGCTCTGCAACAGATTGCTTAGTTTTCAATCTTGGTTCTGCCACACAACAGCTTTGTGACCTTGGATAAATAATTTAATCTCTCGGTGCCATATGACATGGAAGTGATAATGTGATTGTGAGGGTTGAATGAGCTGCAAAGCACTTAGAATGCTGTTTGGCACCTAATAAGTTGTCAATTAATGTTCATGATGATTCTCAAAAGTATTTTATCTTGAATTATAGGCTGGATACATTTTATTTTTAGAGTCTTATGTAGTATTATGAGTAAATACTACAGTTTATTCAGCTTTGAAAATGAAAGACATTCTTGTTGCTTGTATCTATCCTGTGTTATCATAGCTTTTCTGTTTTTTTTTTCCCCCCTAGGGGTTGGTGTTTTCAAATTCTGTCTTGACCACTTTGTCTTAATCACAAATAGAAACAGTTCGTCAGTTTTATTTTCTACTGTTGTCGACTAAAAGATAATTTTGTACATTGAACATAATGTAAGGAAAATAAAACAGCAGAAAATAAAATTTAGCAATCAATTACATTTTACATTTGTTAAGATGATAGATTAACATGCTTTGTACATAGAATGTTAACTTGTATGGCTTCCATGTAGTTGATAATGTCCTATGTAAATTTTAAAAATTTTTGTATAGATTTATAGCAACAAGAATGTTTTTTGGAATCTTCATTTAAATCTGTGGCACATAACAAAACTTTAACCACATAAGCATGTTTCATGCTGAAGTTACTGGGCTGTCCTCTTAAAATTGTTACAAGTAAAGTCAGAATGGGAGATTTTTATCATTTATTTCTTGGCTCTTATTTTCGTTAAAGAAAAAGTTATGACAAACAAATGAATACAAAAGTAAGTATTGATATAAGTCTGATTGAGGTGTATTTTAGAAGATTAAAAGGAAAAACCATTTTTTGTCCACATAGTTATCAATAGGTGTTAAAATTAAGTAACCTAGACAATAAAATAAATAAATAAAATTATAATAAATCTTAATTTTCTGATTGCCTAATTTAACAAAAATATGATGGGATGCTGGTATGCTGAATTCTTCACTAGCCCAATAGAGTGACAGCAGACTAAGTAATAGATGGACACAATACCTTTATTTTATTTATTTCTTAATGTGGTCCTGAGGCTTGAATCCAGTGCCTCACACATGTGCTAGGCAAGCACTCTACCACTGATCTACAACCCCAGCCCTTGCTATGTGGTTACCTGGCACAGAGTAGGCATCATGGGGAAAAATTCTATGAGAAGAATTACTCTGTAGTTCAGGGTAAAAGTAAGTCTTAAATGCACCTATAGACACACACAGTAAAGGGTTGGCCAATAAAATACAAACCTTATGAGCTTTTAATTCTTTGGGGAAGATAGGCAATTCTGTGTCATTCTAGGCCACTGATTTTTAAGCAAAGTAAGTTAATGTGCTACTTTAATCATTTTCTTGGATTGGTATTATTTCAGTATTGCCTATGGGCTTATCAGCTTTTTTCTTAATATTTAATGGAATGGGGCTAGGTATCATCATGGAGCCTGAGGGAATCTCCTCCAAAGTCATAAGATCCTGGTAGGACTTCTAAAACTGTTAGGAACTGTTAGTGCCCCTCTGTAGGAGGCAGAGTGGACTGTCTGCTCTCTTTGAGTATGCGGTAATAGGGCTTGGCTAGCAAGAGCCTTGCAAGTGAAAGTCAGCTGTTTGATGAATAATCCTTATTTACCAAGTGTGTACTTTGCCTCAAGCATTATTTTAAGTATTTTACATGCAGGTATTTTAATTAATCCAAGTTTTTTATTCCCATTTTGTAGATAAGGAAACTGAAGCTCAAGGAAGTTTTGAGTAATTTGCCAAAAGTCTTATGCAGAAAAGTGGCACTCAAGATTTGAACCTAAAATTATATTTTTTGGTACCCTACCTTCGAGTTATAAATCATTTTTAAGATTGATAACTTAAGAAATTTCTAGAATAACTTGAACATAGAACACTATAAACTTTGCCCCTGAAATCAGTATTATATATGTTGTAAAGTTTCTCCAAGCTTTTAACTTTGCTAAGTGATAAATATGTTTGAAGTTTGGCTTGTCTCTTAGAATGGAAAGAAAATCAAAATGTGGATTTTTTCCCCCTACATTTAACACATCATAGTACTTTTTAAAATTTTTATTCTTCTTAGTTATATGACATTAGAATCCATTTTGATATAATTATACAGGCATGGAACATATCTTTTTCTCTATATAGGACCCCAGTTTTGTGGGTATACATGATGGTGAGATTCACTCTGGTATATTCGTATATGAACATAGGAAAGTAATGTCATATTCATTCCACTGTCTTTCCTTTTCCTATTCCTCCTCCCTTCCATTCATTCCCCTTTGTCTAATCTGCTGACCTTCTGTTCCCCTTCGCCTTTTTGTTTGTTAGCTTCCACATACCAGAGAAAACATTCAATCTTAATTTTTTGGGACTGGCTTATTTCACTGGTCTCCAGATTCATTCATTTACCAGCAAGTGTCATATAGTCATTCTTTTTAATAGCTGAGTAATACTACAATTTCTTTACCCATTGGCATCTGTTGAAGGGGACCTAGGGTGGCTCCATAGCTTAGCTATTGTATCACAGCACTTCTGACATCAGATGTCTGGGGATTTCTCCTCACATACTCAGCAATCCACCAACCAGTCAGTTCTCCTGGGCCCACTAATTGAGTGTCCTATAGTTAGTTCAGTTTAGACACTGTCTACTTGGAGGTAGTTTCAGATCCTCCTGCCTCCTCCCAAACTGCTGGGATTAAAGGCATGAGCCACCACACACGGTTGTGTGCCTGCTTTCTGACTGCAACCTCTCATGTGTGTTTGTGGAATTTTCCACTGATGGCATCATGTGAGCGCTCAAAATGTTTTGCATTTTAGAGCATTTCATAAATTCAGTTTAGGTAAAACCTTGATTTTCAGAAATTCTCCCCCAAAGATTTAATCCATTTTTTCTAATGGAAAGCTGTACACTTGAGTACATGACTGTTGCAAGATAAATAATTTAGGGAAAATAAGTAATCACAGTTTTTCAGTTGAAATAGCAGAGGACTTCAGAGGTCACATTGAGGGCAGGGGGCGGATATATTTACATTAGAAGGAATGGTCCAGTCTCAGAAACATAGGTGTCAGTTAGTCCTAGTGTGGCAATTGGAAACATGTAAGTCGTTAAAACAGAAGAGTTTTGTGCATGACTACATAATTGAGAAGTTGTTATGGAATCATAGTCATTACAGTGGTAAGTGAAGTCCACTTTTTGGGAGTCTATATGAATGATTTGTAGGGAACAATTTTCCCTATCAGTCTACAAATTTATTAGCTCTTCTC